CAACAGTTTGTTGCCCTTCCCACTTATATGATGATTGGATTAGAAATTCTCTATTTTCATAGCCCTATTCATGTCCCTATGAAAATATAATGTGTTTGTGTGTGCATGCACATGTGCTTATTTAGAAAAGTAGTTTCCATTGTTATAAAATATCTCAATCTGTAAGTGCAAAGTAGAACATGAAAGCTCATTCCCTGCTTTTTTTTTTTTTTTGTCCTTTTTGAGACCGGCCGCACTGCGCTCAGCCAGTAAGCGCGGTGAGCGCACTGGTCATCCCTATATAGGATCCGAACCCGCGGCTGCGCTCCCAGCGCCGCACTCTCCCGAGTGTGCCACGGGCTCGGCCCATTCCCTGCTTTTTTTAATACTTATGCTCCACAGAGGTAACCATTATTAATATATTGACTCATATCTGGTCATACTGTTTTTTTTTGAAGGCCAGAGATATTTGATTGAGCATCACACTTTGTGAAAAAAATGTTTTTCATTGTATGTAACTATGGGGTACATATCTATGTGTATATTGTATAATGATCCAGTCAAAATAGCATCTCTCCCCCCTAAACATTTATCATTTCTTTGTGGCTATAACATTCAAGATTCTCTTTTCTGGCTATCCTGAAATATACAATACAATATTATGAGTCACCCCAGAGCACCAGAACTGATTCTTTCTATTGAATTGTAACTTTGTGCGCATCTACAAACCTTTCCCTATCCCCTCCAACCCTCCCTTTCCCTTAGTCTAGTAACCACTATTCTACTCTCTATTTCTCTTTTTTAAATAAAATCTTTTAAATTTATTTTTCTTAATTGACCCATGATAATTGTATATGTTAAGTACAATATGATATTTGGGTACATTCATACTGTGTGTAATGATCGTATCAGGACACTTAGTATATCCATTCCCTCAAACATTTGTCACCTCTGTGCTGAAAACATTCAACATCATCTCGACTAGCTGTTCCAAGATGGTCATACTTTTTTCTCTGTATTTGTAAGCATACATGTAGAGCATGATTTTNCAAAATAAATTTTAGAAAATGATTTCCATATTAAACATGCTGATCTATGCTTTTCCCTTTTTTAACTGCAATATATTGTAGCCAACTTTATATTTCAGTATACACTGATCTACCTCATTTTTTAAAATTGCTGCATATATTCCATTGCATAAATGTACATAATTTATTTAACTCATTACCAATGGATGAGACATTTCCATTGGTTTGAATTTCTCAGTATTACAAATAATGTTTTAATGAAATTTTTGTGCGCCTCTTGACACAATTCCCAGGAATAGAAACCTTAGTTTTTGATATATATTTCCAGTTTTCCCTTCAAAATGTTACATCAATTTTCACTTCCACTGCAAGTCCAATAATTTTCACTCTTAGATTATCGTATTTCTTACCCAGCCTGTTTTTCTCTCCAAACCTCTTTTTCTAACAGTAATATACACTATCTTTTACAAACCTTATTCACATTTTCTCCTCAAAATGTTAACATCAATTTTTACTTCCCCTGTCAAGTCCAATAATTTTCACTCTTAGATTATCATATTTTTTACCCAGCCTGTTTTCCTCTCCAAACCTCTTTTTCTAACAGCAATATAAACTATCTTTTACAAACCTTATTCACATCATATGTTTCTTCTTTTTAGAAATAAGTGTAAGCATACATGACAGTGGATGTGTAGCTATAGTTCTCATAGTGAAACCATAGCCTAATTATTTCAAATCACAATTTAAATTTAATTAAGAAATTTTCTTTGATTAATGCCACCTAATTCTAGATACTACACCTTCAAAATTTCTTTATAACAAAGTATAGGTAGCATGACTAAAATTCATTATATAATGCTTTGATATTGGAACTTTGTTTTAAGATATAATTTGGATTAGGAACTCACAACTTGCATCTTGATGTTGGGAGCAATATTTTTTTAATTTTCTTTATATCTCTTACACTATATAGAAGAGTGCCATTTATATAAAAAAATTCTTAGTAAATGTCTTTAGTTGAGTTTGGTTTGTGTTGTGCAGACTTTATATT